GGTCCCCACTATCCTTCCAGTTTTTAATAATGCGTTGGACGGTTCTTAACCCAATTTTAGTAGTTTCTGCAATCTCCTTTGATGTTTTCTCTGCTTGATGCATGTCAATGATTTGACCCTTCTGAAACAGACTAACATCTTTTCCACGACCACGGGATGTGTCTCTCGACATGGTTGTTTAGGAAATGAGAAGTAACTCATTGCACCAGTTGGGGTTAAATAACTTGTTGCCAGCTGAAAGATAATCGCACATGCAATAATTATCCAATAGGAGGCTCCAACCTATTTGCTTTGTTAAATCCAGGTGGGGACTTTTTTTTTGACCAGGCAGTGTATTTATATATGTATATGTATAACTGGCAATCCTCCATTATCTTTTGGGCCGCCAAAACTGCCTTTTACCAAGCTAGCTGCACGTTCCTGCACACTTCTGAATGTAATGCTTATTTATAGTTCTACATGTAATCTGACATAATCTGCCTCCTGTTTCCTACCACACCAGAGCACACAGTAATGATGCCACAGTTTGCTGCAATGGCATTTTTGAGTCACTATTGTGACACTGTGTGTGGTTCTGATGACTGTGGAACCCACTGGTGGGCATTAGTGAGAAACACGGCTGACAGGAATAACGGTCATTGATGACAATAAAGAGATAACTCACCAGAGCGTGGTCGAAGCTGAAAGTGCTGATGTAATAGGCAGAGATGTCACTGTCAGCCAGAGGCTGAGATATCTGAGCAACTATACCACACTCATCTGAAAAAAATAAATTAAATAAAAATTAAAAAAATTAAAAAATATGATCCGAGATCATTTACACTAACCAACTGGAGCTGATGTGCAGACCCTTCTATTTACATTCTTCTGATTAATCTGCTCATTATTTACTTTCATTTATGTGTAAATGAGTGTATGTATATGTATGTTCAAATATGTTTATTATGTTTAATATATTTGAAATTAAATTAAATTAATTTTCCTTGGTGTGTCCCTTGAAGGAGGACCTGCTCCACACTTTAGGAACCACTGCCTTAAAAGAGATCCCTGGATTTCTGGTTTATTCTCTGTCATTTTGCACTGACTTTATATGTTGTTGTACGTGTATTTTTATTATTTTTTTGATGTTCCCAATTATATTTACATATAATTAAGATCCATAGATATGAATAAATTTATATGATTGCATTTAATAACTATTCTATTCTTATTTTTACAACTAGGAAATGTTTACATAACGACTCAGGATCACTCCCTTAGACATTGTTTTCTTACCGAAGCCCAGAGGCTGCCCCCCGATTCGCACCATCCTCCACAGTTCTCCAGAAGAGCTGGTGAAGAGGAGGTCCGCGGGAAACCTGCAGCACAGACAGGACACAGACGTCCATAAATAAAGCTCACAAACATGTAGCAGTTTAACACATTCGGATGAAATATTATTGACATTTCAAGTTCCATCCATCCATCCATCCATTTTCATCCGCTTATCCGTTACCGGGTCGCGGGGGCAGCAGTCGCCACCCAAATCACATTGCACCGTACCAAACCTTCCTGCGGGTGGTGAGTCCACTGGAAGGTACCAACCGCCCTAACCGGGATTCGAACTTGCCCAGGAGGTGAACCCTGGGGTTCCACACCAATGACAGAGACATTGCCTCTGGGCCAAAGCGCCACACATTTCAAGTTCAACAGGAAAATAATTCTTACTGTCTCTGAGCCTTAGTGTCCATCACCAGGGAGACGTAGCCATCAATGAGGGAAAAGGAGAAAAACTTGATACAGTTTATGTCCTGGTCCGCTGAAGATGAAGAGGTGTCCTCTTTAGGACTGAGAAGAGAAAAAAAAATAAACAAACGAACAACAAAAAAAAAACTACATCTAAATCTATCTCCATTATTATCACATGACAGAAATATGGCTCAGCCCTGAGTATAGTTCATAATAACCTTAAATAAACCTTACGTCTGTAAGGTTTTCACAAAACTAAACCGTCTTTATGTTTCATTTTGGACAAAATCCTTATGGAAACATTCTACAGTTGTAATATTTAATTCTTCAAAATTGTCGTTGTTAATTTTGTTTTTCAATTAGCACTTCTGTGTTCGCTTTTCAAACGGCTCCAAATCTATTTTCCGTCCTCTAGCACCGCTCCCTGTTCACCCGCGGTACTACAAGCTACTACCTGCTGGAGTAGAAGAGCACGTCGATGAGTGTGGTGGCAATGGACGGCAGTGTTTCTGGGTCCAGTGACATGACACAGAACTGGTTCTGAGGGATCAGCACCGGGTGAACGGTGGGTTGGAGGGCTGCAGGAACAAACACGGAACTGTTTTATAGGAGAAAGCGGGAGCACTGTAACTAGGACTTCATTTGGGATATTTAAAGATATACATGTACGGAGTAATTAAAATTAAAAAGTACGGAGCCCCTAAAGGGACATGAGGTAAAAAAGTATCTCGTGACCACGAGAAACTATATCTAAGACATTTTGCCACACAAACATACAGGGTAATACATAAAAGAAAATCATGTCCAGTACGTACGTAATCTAAGATACCGGCATGTCATGTGTGACATATGTAGCTACTGTATATGGTGAGCATTTAATTAATGTAGGATACCTCAGTTAGACACAGGAGGGCGTTGTTGTTGTTGTTCGACCGTTGATAACAGTGTAGGGAGGTTCGTGAAGTGTAAATACGTATATACGTAAATCATTAATAACTATCTCGACTCTACTACGCGGATTTTCCCATTTCTTGCGTCTTGAACAGCAACGACTGCGATAGGAGAGGGACCAGTGTATTTCGTGATTCGCGTAATTAATTTTCGCAACTTTCGCGTAATTAAGTGATGTCTGTAAAGCACACGCGAGTTTGGGTATGAAATGCGTCCTATAAATAAAATTGAAATGAATGAAATGAAAGTCCACATGGGAGCCAAGAATATGGCTCGTTTACACGATTCAATTGAATTGTACTTTATGCTTGGCTTGAGGCATGGTGAGATTTTACAATTATTGGCCTCAGTGGATGAGATTTTTATTAGTATGCGTACTCTCAGAGTGGCGCTTTGGCCCAGAGGCAATGTCTCTGTCATTGGTGTGGAACCCCAGGGTTCACCTCCTGGGCAAGTTCGAATCCCGGTTAGGGCGGTTAATACCTTCCAGTGGACTCACCACCCGCAGGAAGGTTTCGGTACGGTGCAATGTGATTTGGCTGCTGCCCCCGCAACCCGGATAACCCACGGATAAGCGGATGAAAATGGATGGATGGATGGGTACTCTCAGAAGGATGAGGATAACTTACGTATATACACTGTTATCAACAGTAGAACAACAACAACAGTGCCCTCCTGTGTCTAACTGAGGTACCCTACATTAATTAAATGCTCACCATAAATACAGTACATGTCACGCATGACATGCTAGTATCTTAGATTTCCCAACCATACGTACTATACATGATTGCTTGTTATTTTAATGTATTACCCTGTATGTATGTGAAAAAATTGAATTACAATTCGAACACAACTCTTGCTTGACGAAGACATATCACATATGCTATATGCTACAGCTTTGGGTTTACCTTGTGGTTAGAAAAAAAAAAATCCACTTCCTGTAAAGAACGCAGAAAGTCAAGGTAGGTCAGAGGTCTCTATAGCATAGGTGTGAAACTCAGGCCCGCAGGCCAAATCTGGCCCCTTGTGTAATTATATCCGGTCCACGAGATCATATCAAATGTGTATTAGAGCTGGCACGCTATTATACAGCCATTATATACTGGCGGGATTTAATAATAATAATAATAATAATAAATTTTATTTATAGGCGCCTTTCTGGACACTCAAGGTCACCGTACACAATACAAGAAAAGACAGTAAAAACATTAAAACATTATGAGACAATGTAAAACAGTTAAAAACAATTTAAAATACAATAAATAAGTCAATTAATTAAAAGTC